CCTGGCCTTGAACCCCTCCAGGGATGGGGCAGCCACTGCTTCTGGGCCAGGCTCTCACCACCCTCACAGCAAAGAATTTCTTCCTAATATCTAATCTAAATCTCCCCTCTTCCAGTTTAAAACCGTTACCCCTCCTCCTGTTCCTCCTGTAGGCCCCCCCTTCATGCTCCACGTTGCCATGTGCCTGTGCTGTGAGCCAGGGGATGGCTAACAAAATCCTCACTGCTGGCTACTGCAGAGGTCCATGAATGCACCGGAGCTGTGTAATTCATCTGAGTGTTAGGAAAAAAAATAATCATGAAACAGGTTACATGCTGTAACAAGTTAACATGCTCTTCAATGGAAAACAGTGATGATCCCATTACTATGAGCCACGGTTTCCTCTTTTTTTGAGAAGCTCAGTAAAAATTACTACTTCTTCCCAGCACTGCATTTTTCCTGTGATGAAAAATGGTGATTTTTATAGGGCGTCTAGGATCCATCAGCCCTCCAGAGGTACAACCACTGCTATACACTGTGTTTATAAGCTCTGAAGGGGGGGAAAAGTAATAATCCCAGTGTGGGTGGATGCGGAGGGATGAAGGGGTGGGGTGAAGACCACAGAGAGTGAAGAAAGGGTGGGTGTGAGACCTGCACATCACCTTGGAAGCTGGTGCTTCGTTCCACTGCAGTCCAGATGCTCATAAACCTCCCAACTGGGTGAAGCAAGAAGTGCCTCAAAGCAAGATGCTGCTTAATGAGAGATTGGTGCCACGTGAGTTAAATGGAAGGTGGCAGGACATACCCACATCAGGCTTTTGGAGACCTTCGTTCCCAGCTGCACTCATCTGTGGGCAAATTAAGAAATGATGGTGAATAACAGTTTTCCCAGTGGAGGCAGAGCTGCCCTGCTCTGACAGCCTGGGGCCCATCAGTCATTTCATACAGGACCAAACCCAAAACTACTCCCAATGCAGACTAATGCCCATTTTCTTCATTTACATCACTTGGGTCGCTGCTTTGGCTAGCTCAGTTTTATTTAGCAGATGATAAAGATTGATGCCCCTCCTCCTCCCTCCTTTTCCTATCCAGTTTGAGACCTTTACTGGGACACCAGTTATGTACACAAGGACAGCTGGACCTTAACAGCAGAACCTCAAACACAAGCTACTCTTGGCAGTCCTCAGCTCTGTGGCTTTCCCTTTCCATCCACCCTGCTGGGGGTCGGTCGCACCCTTGGGCATCCCTCTTTGAAAACGCTGAGCCCTGAAAAAACTCATCACTTCCACATTCTGGGTTTTTTTTTTAGCTTATAGCCTCTCTTCTGAAGTGTGTGTGTAGGGGGGGAAATGAAAGAAGAAAAAAAAAAGACTGATTCAGGTTTTGGCAGCTCTCCTCTCACAGAAGAACATTCCACACTTGCACATGAAAGGGATTTTTTAGCAAACCAGAGCAAAAAGAGTCAAACTAACAAACACAAACAATTACAAAAAAATTGCCACACTCAGTGGTTTTTCCAATGGCTGCTAGTGGCTCAGCGAGAGCTTGGTTCGTTGCCTAATCTTGAGCTCAGAAAAAGACAGTTCATCTTTAAGTTTACAGTGTTATTGGCCCAACTACAGAGGATAAGATTTCCCTTAAGTCTTTGCCCAAGGCCTAATGATGACTCCAAAAATAACAAGTTGCCTTGAGGTTGGAAATTTTGCTTCAGAGAGATTTTGTTCGCGTTCCGTAAACGATGCACAAATATTCATCCGAGTGGATGGAAAGTGCTTAAAAGCGACATAACGTAGTGAATGAGACCGATCCCGAGATGGAAATAATTTGCTTAATTCTTTGCAGCGCTGCTGCTGTCACTTCCAGCCATCTGTTGGCTGGGACGCCGCTGATAATCCATTGAGCAGCTCGGGAGATGAAACCTTCCGAAAGCAGAGATCACAAAGAGTTCACTTATTTCTCTGCAGTAGAAAAAGGAAGTGGGTGGGGAGAAGGGATGAAAGGGTGAAACACGCGGCTGGTACTCCTCTGGCTTCAGGATGAAAGCCTCTCACTCTAAAAAAGCCCTGGAAATTTCATACTTCCTCAACGAGAACCGGTGTCAAAGACGCGGCGCGAGCGGCAGCTGCTCCGTGAGCCCAATTATCTTCACTACGTGGTAGCTTGTCATTTTAATCCAGGAGGTTTTCTCTAGGCCTGTGGATTTGCCAAGTAGCCGGGTCGGGATGTTGAGAAGCCTGTTTTTTAGCAGTGAGTAGCAGAACAGTGCACGAAAAGCAGCAGAACTGGATTTCCCATTCATCTGGGGAGCGACTTTCTCCCAAGCTCTGCCCCTGCAATTTGGTCACCTACTGAGGTACTCGGTCCCAGCCATAGTGGTGTCTTTTGTCCTTCAATTTTTGGGGATTTCATACCATTCAGTATCTCTTTGCAGGCTAAAAAAAGGACATCAAGCTTGTCCTCTACACTCTTCACTGTCAGGTCCATCTCTGTGGCATTTTGGGTGTGCAAAAAGGCCATTTTTATGCTGTGTGTACTGGGAAAGAACATCTAAACCTGGTACTCAACCCATGGAAAAATTATGAAGTCAGTAAATACAGAACAGGAACTGAGAAAAATTTATGTTAGGCTGTTCCGCTGGACTGTAGCTTGGAAAAGAACCTGAAAGGCTTTAACTTACCTCAAAGTGAGTACATTTTTTTGTAACGCTGGGAGAGCTTCGGTGCTGCAATAACTTCTTCAAATATTTCAAGTTCCCACCTCTTTTTGTTAATGACACGGAAAAACACTTGAAATCTATCTAATCAAATGCTCACCAGCAGTCACATCCCCCGGAGAGCTGAGATAGGCCTGACTGAGACAGAAACCACATCTGGTAGCACTGATAGAACTGGAGCTCTGCTCCCACCAGCAGAAGCCCCGTTGACCATCAGGGCTCCCCCCGGGGCTGGGGGGTCCAACCAGGCAGAAGGGCTCAAGGACAGACCTGGGATTCATTCCTTGGGGAGAAGACACACAAAGACACACGGAGGGGTTGCTGTAGCCACGCTCCGGTTGGGAAACCAACAGCCAGATGCTGCTGGAGATTTGTGTGGCAAAGAAAATTAAAAGTGTTTCTCGGGGGGTGTGAGGGCAGCCCCATTGAGGGCAACCTCAGCATTTGTCTGCGAGAGGAACCAGTGGGTAACGCTCCCCCTCCCCATGCAGTGCTGCTTTTCTCCACCAACCACTGTTGTTTTTTTTATCCTGCTTTGCCCGTTTGTGCAGAAAGTGAACCCAGCTTTCCAAGGCCAGAGAGCAGCAATGGGAATGCAGACAGACAATGGGTTTGGGGTAGGGTACCTCTGGAAAAGCTAAAGATGGTAGAAACAAGCATCTAACAGCATCTGTTCCCCTTGCCCAGGAGATGACACTCAGCACGCAGGTCACCCTGTCCCCTGGGAAATGTCCCACCTTTGAGCAGTTCAAACGCCCACGGCAAGGACAGGGCTGGGGACAGGGACAACCACTGGCCCTTTTCTGAAGTCTTTGTAGCCCTAAGGAGGCTGAGGGCTCTATCTGCTCTGCAATCCCAGCTTTCAAAGCAATTTCAATCAGTTTCCTTACACTCGGTGATCCCCTGAAGTTTTGATCAAAGCAACACCAACTGCCTTTAATGAAAAACAGGGACGTTTTGGCGTTTTAGCGCAGCATTTTAACTTTTAGCTGCATTTATTGCCTACAGAAAGCCCCCCAAGTCCATCAGAGGCAGCTGTGACATTGCTGTGTTGGCAGCCCCACGCTCAGATCAAAACCCTCCCGTGTTGTTCTGCCGAGAACCGGGAGAGGGTGCTGATAAATCTGGCCATTATTTCATTTACCCGGAGAGCAGCCACATTCCGTAAAATGCCTTTCCCTATTTCTTCTCTCCCCCCCCACCCCCTGCCATCCCAAACCCTTTAATATCAGGCGCTTTTTAACTCCCGACTGGAAGGGATTTGGCCCTTCTCCTCAGCCAAGATGAGAGCAGTGGCACTGATGAAAAGCATCTCGCACTTCATTATCATAAAGCTCCTAAATTGGAGGGATCAGGAGTCAGGCAGCAGCAACACAGCCCAGTTACAGAGATCCTGGGGGTGAAGGGTGCCCCGCAGCTCGCCGTTGGCTGTGCCTGTGCCAAAAGGGCACTTGATGCCCTTGGACATCAGCTGCGTTGGATCTGAAACAAGAGGGACTGTCTCTGGGACAGGGAAATGAGCACTATCGTGTAAACAACTCTTCTGGTGTGTCACGGGACAGATATTTGGCAAAACTGGGTGACTTTGTAAGTCTTTCTGCTCTGTTTTAGGATGAAGAAAGCTATAAACAATTTATAAAAGAGGGAATATCTCCCTTTTCAGCTTTGAGCCACAGTCACCGAATCATACAACGATTTGGGACCTCTCTCTGCATCACAGACCTAATTAGCTTTTAACCCAGATGCAAATGCTACTCACTTAAAATCAATCTGGATCTTCAATAAAAATACAAGCACGTTCTGGACTGTTATCCAAACCCGAACAATCAACCTTTTTCTCTCCCTCCTTACAGTTTTTCAAACCCTCCTTCTCCACATTTGCAACCTGAAGCAAGTGTCATAGAAGAGATGCAACAGGAACAAAGAAACGGGAGGAGGTGAAGAGGGTACAAGGAGCATCTTCTGTTCAGGTGCAATCTGTTCAGAAAAGGGATCATTTGGAGTTTCATCCCATCTTCCAATCTTCCTAGAGAAAAACACACTCTGAGAGACGAGGGATCATTCAGAGGTGAAACCCACAGTTTCATCCCATCTTCCTAGAGAAAAACACACTCTGAGAGAATGTAAGCAACTGTCACAACAAGGACTGAAAGCAGAAAATGGGGTAACTATGGGATATGAAGTGAACTTGGCCCAAACTGGGTTCAAAACAAAACAACTGTCAGCACACGGATTTGGTCTATTTGTAGAATATTTTAATTCTTAGCTGAGAAACACACAACAGGGTAGAGTTTAAGGCATGCAATCAGGCATGAAACTTCTCTTGCTTGCTATTTCGTGCTCATACCTTCAGTGTGAGTTCTGTGAAAAGGAGCAGACCCTATCTTTAACCTCTGCCTAAAGCAACTCCGAGTACCCACTCACAGCCCCAGGTCCCACACCAGGTTTGCAGCGGTTCCTGGAAGGCAGGATTCACTCACAGGGAAACTCTGATCTGTCTCTGCCTGTGCCATTTGTTCTACGCCACATAGAGAAAACGTCACACATTTCACAAAGTTAAATTTGATCAGTGATAACACTGATAGAAGCAAAATAACCTTCTCCACGTACATACAGACATCTGCTTGCACGGCTTTACCTCGATTTCTCTTTTACTGGAAAATACATCTAATGGATAGAAAAGAAAAAAAAACCCACACTTTGATTTCTGCTCTTTGCAAGTCTAGTTGTTGGCTTTCTTCTAAAAAACAAACCAAAACCAGACACCACAAATAAGACAGCCAATGGGGCAGCAAACTTTTTACTGCTGAGGCAAAAGAGCAATTCAAAGATCAAGAATTTTGAGGATTCAGGTATATTAGCTTAGAAACATCGTAGGTATTGAAATAAACACCATAGGCACTGAGATGCTGCTAAAACTCACATTTCCATATGAGTAATTTTCGGTTGGTAGTAGTGTAAAGCACCTTTGTGTCTACTCCTATGGGGCAAGTGCTCTGAACAAGCAAATGATACAGTACCTGATAGGGAGCGTATTGCCAAGGAACGTTGATTACAAGCAGCTACAAACGAGTATTTTCTCTTTTTAATGCCCTACCATTGTCCATGCAGCTCCTGGTTTTATTTTTTATTATTATTATTTTTAAACGTGATAGTCAAAGACTCTTGTCCCTTACTCGTGCATTCTTAAAATCAATATGATTAAAAATGAATCTACTGTGCATCCATGTGATGAATGTGGTAAGAGCTCACCCCGCATTTCTCCCATGAAGGTCCCCATCCTGCATGTTTGTGTGTCACTAAGAGACAAATCCCAGCTCCTAAAGGCGCTTAAGCAGCCCACGCCCAAGGACTTCAATGGTCTCAGAAGTTCCATCCTCTGCTGTGGTAGGTGTTAAAAGTTCGTTGTTACAGTGAATTTTCAGAACAGGTAATCCTGAGATTACAAATAGTTGGCAAGTCCAGACCGGGACGGTCCCATTTCCTAGTCCCCATCACAACAAAAGGATTCACCTACGTGTTAACTTTTTTCCTATTCAGCGAAACATTGAAATACCACGTAAGCATGAGGTCAAATACCACCGAAAGTGCCTGAAGCAAGATTGTGACTTCACCGTTAAACCTTTTGAGAGCATAAAAGGAAAATAAACTCAGTGCATAAGAATTACACCTTAGACATGCATAAGGAGGCACTTTGACTTCCTAAAAATGAGCAGGCCACTTAGCTCTGGGGGAAGAATCAGAACTCCCATTCCCACTCTTACATCTCACTAGGGAGGAGCCCATGAAAACAATTTTCTTTACATGTTACCTGCAAGAGTGGCTCAGAGTTAAAAGAAATAATCAAGTCTACCAAGTGAGTTTGCATCCTCAAAAAACACAATCTAGACTTAGTTTTAAAACATTGATAGCAACAGTAATGAATAAAACATTTCTGGCCTTTCCAACAAAAAAAAGAACTATAACATGATCAAAAGCTAACTGTGCATTTAGACTAGCCAGCACATAAACAAAAGTTCAAGAAAAGCAGTGCAAAAAAAAAGAGAGAGTAAATAATGAATGTGAAACAGCCAGACTACACCCTGCAAAGCTTGTAAATAGAGCATGTAGCTAATAGGCTTTCCCAATTTAAACTGCAGTTTAGTAACACTGCTGTGAATTAATTCAAAAATACATGAAAAATGGTATGCCAAAATGTGCTGAAAAGCACTGACACAGTCTCTGGGCAATATGGAAGGCTCAACAGGAGCTTCTACTTTTACCTCCCTGACATTTCATCTTTGATTGCTCTGGGCAGAAATAAATTCCCCTTCCTCTCAAGCCTGATGAGAGAATGGCCAAACCACAACCTCAACCCCTCGTTCCGCTGCAGCTACCAAAAGCTACGATTAGGAAACCCTGAAATACTTCTCTGGGACAAACAAAATCAGGCCAGGTGATTTTAAGTAGGAAGATTTTAGTAAAAACAAAGCCAGACTTTGTTGGTCAGAGGACCTAGGAGAGCCCAGATGCTTCCCAATACTGGCATCAGACACTGATGTTACAGGTAGGACATGCCCTGGTCGGGCTTTGCTGAAATCAGTGTGCCCAGAGTGAGGTATTCCTAATGGCTGTTAGAAGTTTCTTCAGAGATTCCCTCTATCTGAGAGCTTTTGCTCCCAAGGGAACACAGGTCACTCCATCCTCTGAAGAAGGTGATTGTCTACTGCAAAAAAAAGGGGGAAATTTAAGAAATACAAAAATTAATGACTAGAGAACTGTTTTGATTCAACAACAAAGGCAAAGCAAAACAGATATCACCTGGAAAGAAAAGTTACACAGGAAGGGATGGAATTCTACTGAACTTAACCCTGAAAGATGCTGTCCCTTCATGATTAAGTTTGCTGTGAATGACTCATCCACAAAGCAATGTGAAATGCACTCCTCAATAGCTTCTCCCAGCAATTCCGGATTTAAAGCCGGTCACAAACAAAAATTACAAGGCAAAAATAACCACCACTCACTCTCCCATTTCTCATCGTCACGGTGCCTCATAAAAGAAAATACAAAAATTGAAAGCCTTTTAACTTGTGAAATATGAAACGCAATTCATGTTATGGAGGAATACCTCAGCCTCTTAGCTAAGAAACAGTCTTTCCATGGGTGTTTGGTTATTAGCTATCATGCAAAAACAATTAGTCATTCAAGCAATTAAGAAGGTAAGTATCTCCTAAAAAGGTTTTGAGCTTTTCAAGCCCTAAATGCAACTGCTATAAACCTAGACTGTTCCTGAGTGTAATTTAGTTATCTATTGCCTCTCCTGAAGAGATTCACTGCATCATGTGTTGTAAATTCTTGATGCTCTTTTGGCTGCAGTCTGAGCCTCTGGTGAATTCTCCTCTTGCTCCTCGGACTTCTTATGGTTTAGGAATATGTCTGACTTTAGGAAGCGGCTGTAGCTGTCATATTTCATGAGGTTGAATATCTGGTAAGAGAGGGGAAAAAAACCACAAAAACAATGACCTAAGTAAAAGTAGATTTTAGATGAGAAAGACAGTATATGAACTCTAATGTATTCTTGTTCTGTTAGTACCAAAGCATTACTAAAAAGCATGGCATTTAAACACACTTCAAACTCTCCAAAGGGGCTGCAAACAGCCACAGTCACTGTTTTACAGTAATGTCCATATTAGTGTAAGAATCAGATAATGGTTTTCACAATAGCCAACTCTGAAAACCTAATACTGAAAAGCAGGAGATCACACACCATGGTCACTAAGTAGGATTTTATAGCTGGTGGTCAGATAACCACACGTGTGGAGAATCAGGATGACCTGGTCCCCTGCCACAGCAGCTTTAGCTCTGCAGAGCCACCAAACCCAAGGCAGGGTGTCCTGCTGGCAGGGCAGTTGGAAGATATTCAGAGGGACAAAGCAGAGCTGAAGAAAAAGAGGTACCTTTTAGGCACCTTCTGACTGCAGTTACTCTTGAACGTTAGAATAGCTCATTATACATGCAGAGCACTGGATAATTAGGAAAAGCTTCTAAATACTTTACACAAATAGTGAAACTGCAAACTGAATCTAGACTGAAACAACTGTTTTAACCCATGTTCCTTAAACTTCCACCAAATCCCTCTGTCCTTTTTAGATTACTACACAACCCAACGCCAAGACAGGTTTCAGGCCGGATCAGAAATGTTGTAGGTACCTCTCACAAAAAGCTGATCCAGTACAGATGCAATTTGCCAGTTAAAATGTGGTTTAAAGTTTATGATGGATTGAACTTGTGCCATCAGGCTTTTCACTAGTCCAAGACCTGCCATTATTGCCATAGCCAGCATGGATGCATGAAGTCAGCAAGGAGTACACCTTTTCTCTCCCAGGGCTGGAGTTTACACTCACCCCTCAACACAACTGCTTTCTCTTCTATTTATACCCATTTCAGACCAAAAAAAAAAAAACCACCCTAGAATTCATTTGGCATTTTCTGAAAACAAAAGGAGCCTGGAATCTGTTCAGGTGTCAAGGTCAGGACTATATTTTGCTTGGTCTCAAAACAGAGGAAAAAAGTAAACCTCAAAACTATAATTGAGGCAAAACCAAAGCCTGCATCACCCTCTGCCTATTATTTCCCTGGCGGAGCCTCTCTGAGTCATGCTTCATGACTGATTACGTTTTATGGTACTCAGAGTAACTAAATTTCCAAGAGGAATTTCTGGATTCTGCCCTGCGTGTGTGGATAATCCACGTGTGGATAACTGGAGCTTTACCTTTACAGGCCTCACTTTTAACTGATAGTACAACTGGGTAATACAACTGTTTGTTAGGAGGAAAAATAATAATAATCTCAAACTGCTTTTTCATTTCACATCCTCAAGGAACCTGGACAAAGGCAAACACACAAAACTTGACTGTTCTTGTCTGTATGTTTCCTGAAATATTCCCCTTGCAAATAAATTAGATGAATTATTTTACTAACTGCTGTTTGTTTACATATTTAAAGATTTAAGTTCATGTTTAAAACAGTGGAAACTCCTGCATTATAAGCTACATTTTGGAAGACTAAAAATCCCCAAACACCCTCTCCATGTAGACCCAAATCAATGCAGTTAAGCAAAGCCAAATTACACTTCCTGCTGTTGGCTAACTACAATACAATTACATTTATCCAACTAGCTCAAGGGAAAAAAAAAAATGTAAGGAAGACATCACCTGCTAAAACACCATTAAGTCAGTGTTAAGAACTCAGAGAGAAAGAGCCCTCTAAGATTGAAATCTTCTGGAGTCTGGTCAGCCAAATGCACAGAACAGACAGATTTTATAATCATGTGCAAAAGCAGAACCCTCATTTTCCCTTCCCTCCTCTCATCGTCTCTGTGGAGCAGGAATACTTACCCCATAATATTTTGAAATGTACGGATTTCTGTGAACCACTTTAACATTTACATCAGCATGAAGAACTGCCTCCAAGCTATTAGTTTAAGGGCACCCCATGAGCACCAAACTGCACCCCCACAAGTAGCCCCATTAAAACCAGTGAGTCTTGGAGAATTGAAATGCTAGTTACCAGCAACGTCGTAAACCAGACTGGGGCTTTCAAGCTCTGCCTTTTTATATTTCAAACACACAGTGCCAGCAGTAGTTAACAGTGTTCTTTAGAGAACAAATTACACCACTGTTCATAACTTTATAAGGATTGAAAGCTAGAGAAGACCATAACTCTTCCTGAACTATTATCTCACAGCAATAAACAGAAGCTTCAAGCAGTGGAAACCTATAACAACCCATAAATGCTCTGCATTTGGTTTTAAAAGTTCACAGACTTTCTTCCCACTCTAGTGGGATTCCTCTACCACTGGTCTAGCGTGTTTCCAGTTCAGGTATTACAAATCCCTGGCTGTTCAGGTGCATGCTCGTCTGCAAAACTTTTTAATTCCACTAGTCTCCCCAGCTTCACTCTCACAATCCCCTACCCTGAACTGCAGGGCTTAGATTTACCAGAACATTTTCCTTCCCTTCCCCCAAATCAGAAGTTCATCCATGAAGAACTCTGTTCCTACACATGGAGTTCCAGACATTTCCACTGCTAGTGACACATAACCTGCCTCAAAGACAGCAGAGCCTTAGCTCCTGAGACCACTTCAACTGACCCAGCCAGTGCCCAATTAATGTATTCAGTACATGACGTGAAATGGGTTAAAAACACTATTTATATCAGCGTGCTGTTTCTCCACAAAAAGAGCCAAATGGAAAATACAGGTAGTCCTGAGGATTGTACAGAAATAAAAAATAGTACAGACTGCAAGCGCTGGAAAGCTGCAGATAAGAATGACTCACTTTACAGCTTCTGCTTTAAAAGCTAAGTATCAAGAAAAATAAGCTCAATATCAAGAAAATTTACCGCCAAAAGACATGCCTGCAAAACGTCACCTAATTTCTACCAGATCTCCCAAGTCCTAAAAGAAACAGCAAAGCGGAGACCAACTCCTAAGTTTTGTGTGGTACAGAAGATGAGGCTTTTCAGGAAATTGCATTATATTCGTATCAATATAAATACCAAAACAAAGCAGAGTGAAGAATCTTGAGCTCTCAAGGAAACCAGTGGCAACTATGGAAACAAACATCAGCAGTGACTCAGCGCAAGTGAATACACAGGAAAACGTAGGCACAAGGTTAGTCAGCTGGGTGATTCTCAACCTACCGCAGAGGAACCCAGGAGAAAACTTCATCCAATTTTCCAGGAAAGTCCTGAACCAGAATCAGAGGAGTCTCCTAATTGGTCCTAATTAGATGGGGCTAAGAACCTAGGGTATGGTGCATCCACCCTCAGAGATGCTGCATTAATATCCCCAATATGGAAACAACCCAGCTCCGTGCCTACTTACTCAATCCATGCCACACGGTAGCAAAGGCAGATTCCCAACTTCCCTACAGCAGCTTGTGCTTAGAAACCAGAGTCCATTAAAAGCAGATAAAAACTAAATAAACTCTGTTCTTGAAGGAAGTATCTTTACCTGGTCCTGGAGCTTCTGAAACATGAGAGGGTGAGGTGTCTCCAGAATGGTCTCATTCAAACGGGACTGCCCTTCAACGTTGACTTGGGAGGAGGCTTTACTGGACAGGAAAGTCATGTAAATTTCTTTAGCTTTTTCTTGCATCTGCAAAAGGAAATATTTATTTACGAACGATTTGCTGCGGGAATATTCTCCATATTTGTTAATGTTTTATTAGAGACTGCTCTGGGTCACTGTCATGGTTTAGGCTTCTCGAGATTCACATCTTAAAACCAAAACATAGTCCGAATTAAAAGAGAAAACAAGAAACAAAACAAATACGCATAGATTACCTTATTTGTATATATTCATTTGTACTGGAGGAAGAACATCTCTGCAGGCCAACTGCACCAACATCAGTGGAAGCTACCAGCATTTGGCACTTAGGTTAAACAGCAGGTTGTGACGTTTGAATCTGAGAATCCAGTATAAAAATGCTCAGTGCCACCAACCAGGCCTTGTCTTCACTATTTAGAAAACTGTTTTTACTAACAGATAACTGGTATGGGCAACGAACCCAGGGGGACAAAGCACTGTGGAAACTCACTGCAAGGCAAAACTAAGCAAAGCTAGTGCCGCTGATGAAGAACCTTATCGTAATACATGCTACGTTTTTACCTTGGCAGCTCACATTCAACACTGGCTACATGAGTAAAAAAAAAAACCAACGAGTATTTTTTTGGCTAATGGTAAAGATAAAACTCTCAAGATCCTCTGGAAGCTGATAAGGAAGGGAAGGTGTGACTTGCATACAGCAGTTTGTTACTGTTTGCCCCGATTCAGCAATCCTGTTTCAGTGGTCTCTTGATAAATCAGCAACAGCGATAACATTTTGACCCTACCTAGCATCTCTGAGCTTCAAAGCAGTAAACAAGTGGCCACAATCCTCTGCATTGAGTTTCAATTCAATGCAAGCTCTACCTTCACCAGAAGATCGATAAGAGAGAGCCAGTGGGGGAGAAGAGAGCTGAGCCAGGCAGGAGGCAAGCTCCCCTGCTGCACTCTGAATTCTGCACACTAAAAACTGGAAGAGGGGAGATTTAGATTAGGTATCAGGAAGAATTTTTTCACTCTGAGGGTGGTGAAACACTAGCTGAGGCTACCCAGGATGGATGTCCTATCCCTGGAGGGGTTCAAGGCCAGGCTGGATGGAGCTTGGAGCAACCTGGTCTGGTGGGAGGTGTCCCTGCCCAGGGCAGGGGGGTTGGAACTCAATGATCTTTAAGGTCCCTTCCAACCTGAACCATTCTACAATTCTGAGAAAACAAGCCCTGTGCAGCAGCAGGCACTGCACGATCATGAGCCACAGGCACTTGTCCATGTTCCTCACCGCACACTTAATGAGCAACCATATCTCCAGACCAGCACCAACCAGCAGGCTGCATCTTTGACGGGAAGTGGGCTTGAAGAAGGAAGCATTTAAACTCTTGCCCACGAAGGAGTCACAGCATTTCTTTCATGTTTTACAGCTGAGAATCAACATTTGGGGATAATTAGATGAAAAGCTACACGCGTTTGACAAGTCACAGGGCCTCAAGAGTTAACTCTCTCACTGCTGAAGGGGACACATATTTTCCAGGAGTATTCCTTTTTAATAGAGAGTATTCATCCAGCAGGTAAAACATCATGTGTCAGGTGCACTAGGTCACAATGAAGTGTTTTATAACAATTTCTGATCTTTTCACTTGCACAGATCAGGGAGGACTCTGTCAGCCGTGTCTGTTCTAAATGAGTAATTAATCCAATTGATCAGAGGTGTGACTGCTTTAACTGGTAAATTTAATACCCTAATGCAGACACAATAAAGTTTCCTTTAGCTATTATCACATGAGTAAGTGTAAGTGACTGCACTGTCTGTCAGTCCTACCTAAACAATTTTTGAACCTGCTGTCCAGTTTCAACCATATTTAAGAGAGGGGAAAAGGACCAAGAAATAATTACCCTCCTCCTGATTCAATGGAAAAGAGGAGCAAGAGAAAGGAAAGGAAGTTTCCTAGAGGACTAGATCTCCCGAGGTCCCTTCCAACCCCATATCATTCTATGATTCTAAGTTAAAAAGCAGCCCATGCACCAAGGGAAAAGCTGCAGTATACATTTAAAAGTTATCTATTCTACTTGGAACAGCCAGCATGTAATTAGTGGCTGGCTAATCAATGCACACATAGCTTCACATCAGCCACAATACAAGGTGCTACTTGGCCAAGGAACACAGGAGCAGGCTATGCGCTGTGGAGAAAGAGCAGAGAGCAAGGCTCGAGGGGAAACACGAAACTAGAAGTACTGCAAGGAAGTTTAAAGAACACGGGGGGAACAAGAGGATTGTGTGGGAGGTTGGTGAAATGAGGAGGATCTCTGGATTTTGTGGGGAAGAACGACAAAGAGAGGAAGTGAAAGTGCTGTGGTAGGGAGAGGGTTCGCTGGAGAGACCCAGGGGACCTGACTTTATAGTAATGGGGAAACCGTTCTGTTGCACATGGAACAATTTTTACATGACATCTATGCTCCAGGGGTAGAGCGTCCATTTAACTACAATATTTTATTATTTTTTTAAAAGAAAGTACAGTCAAAGCTGCCAGGATGTTTATACATCCCCCAGATAACATTCAGGGAGAGCCAGGCTCAAGCGGAGCAGACAGCAACGTTCCCTGTTTAGTGGGTGGCATTCTTGGTTCTGCATCAGCCTGAAACTAAAGCCTCAGCACAGGGGACTCTCCTCTGGAATTTAAACAACACTTAAACTGGGATCTTGTTCACAGGTGGTTATTAAAGGATTTCTGGCACTTTTCACTTACATCTGTGTGCTCGCCCCAGCGTGCGTGCCAAATTCCCATTTGGAGTATGAAGTTCTGTCTACAGAAATCCCCCTCACCATTTCAAGTGGATACAATATTCTTTCCCACTTCCTTTCCTAAGGTCAAATGCAGCTCTCGAGCATGTGTGGTTCCCAAATGAGGTGAATGGAAGTCCCAGATGCTCATCAGAGCAGGCTCCAGTTACCAGCTGTGCAGCATTACCCATTCCTGCTTAACCGCTGTCACATTCCACGTGGGAAGCAGAAGAAGAAACTCTTGAATAGGTGTACTTTGTTCTGAAATTGTTCTCTGCAAAACTTCTCAACATGGGTATTTTGGTGGGTTTTAGCAATAGCTGAAAAGAGTCCCTGTTGTTTGTTACAATCTCTGATTTATTTTTAAAGCTCAGCTGCGGGAGAAGAAACATTTAAACCTCAGGAAGCAGCACAATGGACATGTTGTTTATTTCATTAACCGTCCAAACACAACAGCATATGACTATCTCCAGTAAAATATTTCAAGTTAAATTTTACTCACTTATCCCCACCACTGCCATTTTAATAATTGTGTGTCCTAAGATGAGGACCATATGGGCGACAGCGCAGCTCGCTGCTACAAGTGGACTTGACCTAAGTCCTTCCTCCGTCTTCACTAAAAAATACATTCCTATTTTAAGTTCAGTTGTAGAGGAATGATAAAGAAAGAATATCCTTTTGAAAAAAAAATACAGAAATGTGTCTTGAGCTGAGGGAGGAGTCTGTGTTTCCGTGCTGCAAGAAGACAGGCTGAATCCAGTCCATCTAAACCCTGCCTAGACCAGTATCATCTAGCTCACTGCCCAGCTCTGCAGATGCTGAAAATCTCCCCGGCTCCCTGAAACACCCCTGCATTTTGTGTTAGGAAAACAACAGGAAAACAAACACGGGCTGGTAGAGAGGTCTGGTCTGAGCTCCATTTCTGCCTTCTCAACCACTAGTCTAGAGCCAACACAGCAGCCAAGAGCTTGGCTTCTTCTTGCCAGTGCTCCTTCTGCTCCCAATTGATTGATCCAGCAATCCTGGCTGTGCAGTGGGTCACATGCAAGAGGAAGGGGATGGAGGAGATGGATCTGCACAGCATCTTGCAAGATCTGCCTGGGCTGGCTTGATGTGTCAGCTTCCAGGCAGAGCCCACGTGACTGTGGTTAGAGTAACGACCGAACCAAATTTAATAAGCTTTGAGGAAAGGCCTGGGATATCGTCTCAGAACGGCACTGACACAGTTAAGATGGTTTGCAACCAGCAGAAAGCAGGAGCAGGGTGAGCCTGCATCTACCTGGGAAGACCAGAGAGGACATGAGGGAAGGACAGCACATTTAGTGAGCCTGGTAAAATCAGTACAGCAGCCTTTACAAAACCAAACGCTGCTCCAGGGGGACACTGAAGGGATGACAATAGCACCAGGCACGATGGATGCTGGCACCACCAGTCACCTCACCAGGTGGTGGCTGACCAAGAAAAACCTCACACTAACACTCTCGTGTCAAGTAACGAGAAGTTTGTCTTCTACTTTAAAAATGGGGGAGGGCAGGAGGGGGGAAATCCCATTCAATCTGGGTTAAATTGAAATCAGCTTCATCTGACCAAAAGTCTAAGTGTCTATGAGCCAGTTTCTGTGGTAAACCAGTTCTAATGAGAAGCAGATTATAAAGTAAAAAGTTTTTTTTAGAGTATTTTGCTCACATTAGATAAATAGAAGTGATTTCTAAAAGAGCCACTTTGAGAAGACAAATTCATGCTTCACGCTATCATAAACACTGGAAAGATTTCTATTTTTAATGCTTTTTCTAGCTTTGTAAATTATCTAAACAAAGCCATCCATAAGCAGTAGCTATAAAAGTTTACTGTAAGTCTGTGTCATTCTAAAGCACATTTATTCTAGCTGACTGTAATAGCTTTGGCAGTGCTAGACTCCAGATCAACCATGCTGTGTGATGATTGGTACTGAATAATTAAGGTTAAGTCTCTGTCCATTCATTTGGCAACTCACTCGAGAATTTATTAGGTTACTATCTCCATCCATCAGTTTACATTTCCTGTACTACCATGTGCAATCCCATGCATTAGAACAGTTCCCTCTTTTATCCCACCTCATTTACTTTATTTCTCTTTAGGCCTTGCATCCTACAGAAAAATAGCCCAGTTTTCTGAAGACTACCTGCATGTGTGGACCTTAATGAGGAAGGGAAACAGCTAAAGACACAAATTTGAAATAGAGCTAAATATTACAAAGTGTGCGGTCAAATCAAACATTTTCCTCTTCTTGCCAAAAATTATTTTTTTTGTATTTTTGATGGATTTGTCAATACCAAAAACTAGTCACAACTCAAACAAGCTAATTGTTGAGGGGAATGCTTTTTTAGCACAAAATAGAGCACATTTACAGAAAGTAGACTCCCCTCTCAAAAACATGTTTTGTTGAAAATCCAGGGATTACTTTTTTTCTTTTTTTTTAAATCTACTGGGAAACAACTTCAGCTGACAATATTTGACTGACCTTAAGAGAGGAATCCTGCAGTCTGGATGCAGCTCTCATGCACCTGCACTTTATAACACCCCTAGAAGTCCAGTTCCCCCTCCTGATTTCACTTCCCTGACATTTCAGACATTACTCAAAGCAAGTGTAGTCCCATTTGAAGTGTCTTTAAATGGCATTTTCCCAGATCTGCTTATTTTGGCCAGAGAAGTGCAAAAGGGGCTGTACATTTGCACTTGTTGCCTTCTGAAATGCTCCCTTTGGCAACAAAAGCGGCACACGTATGGAAAGCATAAAGGTAGGACTTAAAAGAAAAGGACTTATGGAATTTAGGAGCCTGACTCTCAGTGACAGTGATGCTCAGTTGCAGTTTTGAAACTACTTCCTTTCATGCTTACAGAATCCTCATCTCATAGATCAAATAAATATGGAATTTCTAAAAAAAATAATAATAATCACAATTCTTTTTCCAGAAATAAAGCAATCAAAACACGGTACATATCTTAGACCTGACTCTGTAAGCTTCAAAGCCTAAATGTGAAAGTGGATCCTGTGCTCCTGGTGAATCTAAATGTAGACAGAGATCCAAGTGCTGGAAAAACTTGAAGTGGCTGGCTGAAAAAGTTCCAATAGAGTATTTTCTACTAGGAAAATAAAGCTTTCATGAAAATGAAAATGCTATGCAGGTATGTATCAATTTGAATAAATATTTAAACAAAAAAGTCAAAACGGACCCCCTTTTGTTTTGAAACTGGTAATTTGAGAAGGCAAAACTTTTCATTTTGGTATTGTAAGACCCTTTGTTTGTGCTCTTTGTTATTTTTATGTTCTACTAAAATATTACAGTGGTGTATATTTTCATGTAATGGCTGCTACGCTTCAAAAGAAGTCCTGAATGAAATGTTTCCATGTTTTCAAGCACGATGATGCAACATCACTGAATTAAACCTTTTGCTATTCCCAAGCGACAACAAAAAGTTCAAAGTTTTCAAAACATGGGAAACCTGACAATTTCAGCATTTTGTTTTGATTTGAAGTAGAACCAGCTTTGTTTGCAAACAATTTCACCAGCCTGATTTCAGTGCAATTCCTTCAAATATACTTATTTGCACTGGTATGAAGCACGTTATGCAACAGAAACGTCACAGCTCCAGCTCTGCTATGGAAAATTTGTTCACAAGTAAAAGTCATTTAGGAAACATACCTGTTTTTTTCCCTGTGTTTTCTTAAATTCTTCACATGCTAGCCAGAACAAAACGTTTTCTTCACTAAATTCTTTTTTTAAAAATTCCTAGGGAAAAGAAAAACAAACAAACAAACATTAGGAACCAATTTCTCAATTGTTTTTTTCTCTTCCTACTCAGTTATTAAAACTAGCAGCCGCCTCCAGTTAGGCCTTACCACATGAGTTTACATAATCCAGTGTAACAGAACCTCTGCGTTCGTGCATCTGCACACCACCAAGACACAAATAAACAATCATATATTCAGCACTTTGAAAGCCCATTCCAGGAGAAGGATGAGCTGCTTTTAATCTCAGCACATATCAGTAACTAACAGGAGAGTTTCTTCAGTCTCCCTTAAATAACCCGAGCATTTTTTTTTTTACAGTCATTACTCAAAGGGAAATCCAAAAATGAACTCATTAGCAGGTGAGCATAATGAACTATTTTAATGAGAGCCATAGATCACTTGAGATTCTCATCTAGTATCTTTCTGATTTTTTAATGAGTAAAATCTCTACAAATAAAAGTGTTTCCAAACACGATCAGTGGCAATAAATTCACTTAAGTAAACTAAAGCAGACGACGTATTTGCGTTCTCTAGACAGTGTTTAAACAAAGCACATTCCTCCAAAAGTGAGGCATGTTTTAAAATGAGGAAAAAATATACATTAAATTTCTTTATAAAAAATAATGACTTAAATATTTATAGCTCTGAGATCATCAGTTTTCACTTTCAAGTGTTAGAAAATAGAGGTTAAGTAACGCCAAGATTTAAATAGCACCAAGATTACTTTTTTTTTTAAAAAGAATTCCGAATCACAGTGGTTTTTGTAATTCTGGTTTACATCACTTTTTAAACCATTCTGGCAGGAAACCATTTTTTCCCAGTGCATTTCCCATGAGGGGTCTGGAGAATAAGTCTTATGAGGAGTGGCTGAGGGAGCTGGGGGTGTTCAGCCTGGAGAAAAGGAGGCTGAGGGGAGACCTCCTCACTCTCTGCAACTCCCTGAAAGGAGGGTGTAGAGAGGTGGGAGTCAGTCTCTTCTCCCAAATAACAAGCAATAGGACAAGAGGAAATGGCCTCAAGTTGCTCCAGGGGAGGTTCAGATTGGATATTAGGAAAAAATTTTACACTGAAAGGGTTATTAAGCCTTGGAATGGGCTGCCCAGGGAAGTGGCTGAGGCACCATCCCTGGAGGTATTTAAAAGAGGGGTTGGCATAGTGCTTAGAGACATGGTTTAGTAATGGTTTTTTATCAGAGTTAGGTTGGTGGTCAGACTAGATGATCTTAAAGGTTCCTTCCAACCTAGACAATTCTATGATCCTGTGATTCAATGATTTTATCAGTGCTTGGCACAGCTAAACCATCCTCAAGCTGGTAGTTCCTATTCCTATAGCTAATGCGGCAAGAAGGTCTGGAAAAACCAACTCACCACCCTCACCTCATTAAGCCTCAAGCCTGAATTTTAAACTTAAGGGGAATTATTTTCAGTGCAGCTGCTGCAACACAGAATAAGAGCCACACAAAGTTCTCAGGCTCAGGAGCTGTTAGTGGTAACTCATTGCTGAAGTAAGAACAACGTATGAGAATAAAGATCATGGCATCAATCTTCAGCTGATAAAGAACGCCTGGCAAGAGAGATCAGAGGCTCAAGGACTGTCATTTATCCAACAGTAACTTGTTAATCCTTGCAACAGCTGACAGATCCGATTAGAAAGGTGCAACCACAAGTCTCCCCACGTGCCTTACGAGAGCAAGCTGCAGCGGCAGTGGGCAAAAGGCACCACCTCAGAAGCTCAGCAAATGCCACAGCTCCACCTCTGCCACCTCTGCTCAGGGTATCCTCAGTTGATAAGAATGCCTGGCAAGAGAGATCAGAGGCTCAAGGACTGTCATTTATCCAACAGTAACTTGTTAATCCTTGCAACAGCTGACAGATCCGATTAGAAAGGTGCAACCACAAGTCTCCCCACGTGCCTTACGAGAGCAAGCTGCAGCGGCAGTGGGCAAAAGGCACCACCTCAGAAGCTCAGCAAATGCCACAGCTCCACCTCTGCCACCTCTGCTCAGGGTATGTATCTAGAAGGACACATGCCTACGTGCTTGCAGCACTGGCACAGCTGCACCATCTATACTAAGACTCGTTCAGCTTTAAATCCTAATTTTGCTTTATATAAAGAACCATAGTTAATATAGCAACCCTAAATCGTTTCACTCCTTCTGGATCTTCGAGGAGGTTCTCCAGTGATGTAGCCCATTTCGAGGTTCCTTTCAAGGTCTGGTGGCTGCTGCTTGGGTGACCCTCGCTGTCATTTATCTCTGGAAAAAAAAATTGGAAAAAAATACCGTCTTCGTTAGAAGCGATTAAAGTCACATGTGTTTCTTCCCTATTACCCTCTGCACCCTTGGATTACAGCTGCTCTCTTTAAAGGAAACACCATAAAACTGAAAATAAACACACACACATATTTGAATTCTGCTTTGCCTGTAAGGAGGCAAAAATGCCTCGCAGTTAGATAATTCATGAGGGTGTAAGCAGGCACTGTCACTGCTTTATAGGGGTTCAAGCACCTTTTGCATGCGGGACACAATGACCGAAGCCTGTGTAGTAAAAGGACCATTTGGCTTTTGTTCTGGTGCTGTCAACGACATTGGCTTCCATAAAGCAAATCCTGGTCAGGAAAAGGCAAAGAGAGAAAGAAAAATAACGCTTTGTTTAGGAGGAGAACAAGTCCAATATGTCAGCCCAGCCTAACGGGAGGAAAGACAGCTGGCAGAGGAGCCTCATTCCAGCTGAAAAAAGTGGTATTTGGGTATTTGTTGCTTGTTTGTTTGCAAGCCCGCTGAAATTCTGCTTTTATAAGGTGTGCTGGACTGTGCCTACATCTTCTCTGCCAGTGGATAGGAGAGATGATACACATTTCTGAATTTTTCTATCCCAGCAACAAGTACGTTACATCCCAGGCTGGTGATGCCACAAAAATTGCCTGCTGGCTACCCATCACAACACCTACTGCTTGGGAAGGCTACAGGAATTTTACTGCTGATCTGAAAAAAAGTATAAAACTGACATAAAGCGCTCGACCTCCTTTCCTCTCACACACCAAACGCCCAGGGAAGCCAGCAGGAGTGCAGGCCACGAGAAGTCAGGCTCAGAGCTTCCCTACACCCTGGGAAGGTCCACAAACCCCTTACTGTAATCAATACAGCTCCTGTTTAGTTTTATAACCCCTTCTTTTCTCCCTACCGACTTCTTGGAAATACGGATCTTAGCAACTTCTGCTGAAGCTCTGTTAAAAAGCCCTTCCTCCACCATGAAACTCAACCTCAGCATGTATCTCAAAAAACTATCTATGCAGAGCTATGCTATCAGATGTGCTTTTCGGCTAGTAGCTAGAATGATAAATGCTAAGGGTAAAGCCCTACAAAATATTGGCACAACAGCAAAGCCTGCTGAGCTTTGGTTGGTAGGGACCTGTAGAGTCTGTTTGTTTTTTCGAACAGTGAGATGAACCACTGTTTTACGTGAACGAACATCTCCTCTTCTCCCTTGATAGGAATTGGGGGGGGTTTATAGAGGAAAAACTACGAAGCTGGAAAAGAGGCAAACTTTCTGGAGCTGTGGATTCCATACCTATTGCCTAATAGTGAGAGATCCACACTCCCGCCCCAAGTAAATACAGATGTAAAAACAAGGAAAGCATCTGAAATGATGGAGCAAATGGTCACTGCAGGCTACATTTTAAATCCTGAGTAAAGCCTGTCTCTCCTTTTGCCCGTCCTGCTCTCACTCTCCCATGCAGTTAGAGAACCAACCCGAAATGTCTTCACATCGACCGCCCGGCTCTACGCCTGCCCAAAACCTTTCAGGATCCAAGATGGCAAGCGATTTGGGTAAGGACTGTGACAGACTGGTCTCCAAAGCAGCAAGGCCAGCTACAGCTCTGCGTGAGAAACACACAGCCTGCTAGTTAAAGGTCAAGAGTCAGAACCTGAGGATTGTCTCCAAACCACTTCACACGTGACACAGCGAGTTAACCGTGCCTCAGTTTCCCCTCCCCTCATGCAAAAGGATGTGGTTCATGATTATCGCTTGCAAAATTTATTTTAGGAGCCTGACTCGAGGCATCTGAGCATCTAATCTCAATAAAATCTGTGAGGTTTAAGTGGGAATAGCCAAGTCCTTTGGAGCAGAACACAATTACCTCTGAGGTGCCTGAATCTCCTGTTCTGATCGCTCTCACCTGCAAACAGAATGGCAGCTCTGTGTGTACAGCTGCTAACGGCCTGAAAAAACAGGCCATCCCCTTATTTCATATATGATTTAGCACAGAACACGTGGGAGTGAGCTTTTATTTCTACTGTTTCTTTTCCAGCCGAATTTTCAGTGGACATTAATGATTACTTTGAAAAGTGCATATTTCGATGAGACCCCAGCCAGAGCATCCTGATGGTAGACTTTCAACCGCTTGTAGACAGTAAAGACAAGAGGCCAGAGAACACTCTTAGATCCTGCACAGCTCTTGTCCTTAGCAGTCCCCCAAAAAACCACAGAAACCACATCCAAGGGGACATCACCTGGCTGGGACCACCCTGAACACTCTTAGATCCTGCACAGCTCTTGTCCTTAGCAGTCCCCCAAAAAACCACAGAAACCACATCCAAGGGGACATCACCTGGCTGGGACCACCCTGACAGCTGTGCCCAGGGCAACACGGCTACCAGGGGCCAAAGCCACAGCAGGGAACGTGCCCAGAGCTCTGGGGTGGCAGGTCTGTGTGCTGGGCATGGCATTGATGGAGCTCTCTCCCTCCAGGCTGGGGACCATTAATCCCCATGTTCAGTGTTTCTTTGCAGCCACCATAAAAAGTTAAAAATTCGCCCTCAGCACAAGTGTGGATAGGATGCACATCACACGTGACAGTAGGAAACACCCTGAAATTTTACAAGGATATTAAAACTGCTGGGTATTTTTATCAGACCCCAGTAAGTACGCCATCACAAACATTTTTTCTAATACAAAAGTGACATTCCCCCCAAATAGGATCATAACTTCCCACTCCACATGCTGGTTTCATTTAGCAGATTTTATGTGTGATTTCTTGAATTATATTTTTTTTTAAGAGCTTAAAAGATAGGAGTGAGGTTTCCCCCAAAAATGATTCAAGAAGCTAATCCCCAAATCTATATCCTGTAACATGTTACTGAACTACCTTAAAAATTATACTTCCACTGAAGTTCAACTTAATGAAAGTCTGAAAGAATTTATTTTAGAAGGCAATGCTGCAATAAATGTAATTACATGAATGACCCTCTTGAAACCTATTTATCTCTGTTTGCTATTTATAAAGGTAACTTTCTCTTGTCAAAATCATCTACCAACAAAGTTATGGAGTACACACCTGGAAATAACAAGCTCAACACCAGTATTTAACAACTGAAATGTATACACGAGTGTGATGATGTAAATGAGGAAGGCAGACATTTGCTGCTGCTGAAAACCAGGAGATAATTTTGCGCATCAAAAATGGTATTACAAAATGGCACTTCTTCCACCAGAATTCCTCTGAAAGGAACACACAGCATGCACAACAGGTGATCAATGTGCTAACTATGTTTTTTACCACCACAGGAGAGGGCTTGCTGTCTGAGAGACGGGTCAGACACCGAGGGGCAGGGAAAGCCCACAAAGCGGAGCGCCGTGGCAGAGTCCCTGCTGAAGCAAACTTTCCACTGAGTGTGCGACCGTAACGCGGCTGCCGGCACCATGTGCAGCTGCTCCTAACAAGGCAGCAAATGACTAAGTGCTTATTTTAACAGCAGCATTAATTTAGAGAAGAACCCTCCGCTAAGCCAGCAAATAGACGGTTACATTAGCCGGAGCATCATTTTTGAGAAGGTTCTTACAGAAGCTGCTTTTCCCTCTCACACAGTCGTGCCGGCACATCAGACCACGGATAAAGGCTCTTTGTAAGTGACAGATAAAACGGTAAGTGCAGCACTAATAGCACTAATTATCAGTTGAAGTGTGGTATCAAAAAATGGCAAACAGTTGCATGAACTTGGACTGAAACCACAAAAAGCGTCAATAACATCCGAATATACAACTTTGCAGGTCAAAACTAGTGGTTTGGCCCCTGGCTTTCGAGAACCAGAAATTAACGTGGAAATCCATCACACTTTTAGAGATATTCAGGCACAGCTAATTGAGGTAGACATGCTGACCCGTCTGCCTTCCAGAAGGGCTACACACTGCAGCCGTGTCCCAAGCTGCTGTCCTTCCTAGACTGTGGATACGGTGACCTGTGGGGCATCAGATCCAACAGCACAGACCCCCACACCTCAGAGTCCCAAACGCCTGTTCCAGCTGTCTCTTTCCTGCACACACCTCCTGCAAGCTCCTCAACAGAAACAGCAGATGTGACAAAAACACCGTGACAATAGCGTATTCCTTAGTCTACATTTAAATACACAACGTTAAGAAAAGCCTTCTCAATTTCTTCTTGAAGAACTTCTGATCACACCACCTGCATTTTCCCCTTTGTCACCTGGACCATAAAGCTGCCAGCCACCAACCTTTATTATTACTTTAAAAATACTCTGAATACCTTGTCTTTTCCTATGGTCACCAGAATCCCCATCCAGCAACAATCACCAGTCTGGAATTAATAAATCCAAGGTTATGAAACAGTGGGAAAATTCCTAAGTAGGAAGCTGAAATAGGGAAAATTCCCTTACTTTCCATGTATCCAAGCGCCACTGGATGAGTCCTCACACACCAATTTTTTCCTAGTAGCAGCTGAATTTTAGAGCTTTTCCCTGCAGAAGGGCTGTCCTTTGCATGCTTTGGTTGTTCAAAGCACAAGCCTCAACATCCTCTTTTGACTGTCTCTAACTAAACAGATGGCTACTCGGATTCCACTTTTAACTATAAGGAAGGAAACTAAAGGGACGTTCTGCTTTTGTAGCATCTCTGGAAGCACTCACCAGACATATCTCCTTAAAAAAAAAAAAAAAAAACCCCCAACACAACCGAAAAAGAAAAAAAAAACTCAACTGTAGACATTTGGCTTTTCGTAGAAAGACTGTTACTTCTTGCTGCACGTTACAAAATGCAGTATTATCCTCTAGGATTCTGAGTTTGTAACTTTAACCCCGATTGTTTTAGCAGTGGCGTGAATTTTTTGATTGCACGGACCTCGGGCATCGGTGACACCGTGCCATGAGAGGCCCCGCAACAGCCCGGAGACCTCCCCAACGCCTGTCTGCGGAGGGAAGGGTGAAGTCCCACATCTCCTACACCTTGGTCACCTCCATCCCTGCCGAGACGCTCCCCCCAAACTCTCCAAAGCCAGTTCAGGGCTCGAAGGACCCGGCTCCGATTCTGCGGGCTCTGGGCTATCGCTGAGCTCCCGGTGCGAGCGACAGGCAGCGGCTGGCAATTAAAATTTGGCTGATGAGCCATAAGCCCGAGGAGAATCTCCCCCCGGCCCCTTCCCTGCCGCTGGAGCGGGAAGAACGGCGGCTCCGTCCCGCCGGGTTCGTCCATCGCGACGAGGACACGGACCCCCCCCCACCCCGCCATCCCGACCCGGGCAGAGCCACGGCCACGCCGGTGTGAAAACCACCGTCCCGCCGCCCGGCAGATGAGTTTGAACCCGCTCGAACCCGGCTGGAGCCGGGCACCGCCGCGGCCCCGGTAACGGCACCCGAGCTCCTCCGGCTCCCCTCAGCCCGGCGGACCCGGGAGGGGGCTCGGCCGCGCTCTCCTCCCCCGCCGCCCGGTGGAAGGGGAAGCGCGGCCCTCCCTCAGGCGGCCGGGGGCGGGAATGGCCGTTCCCGTTCCCCCCCTTACCTGACGGCGGACGCTTCCTGCTGAGGCGGCTGACGGCCCGGTTAAACATCTCGGGCTGCCCGGAGCCGGAGGGGGCGGCCGCGCCTTCCCCCGTTACCCGCCGTCCCGCCCCGCTTCC